TGGGAGGGAAGGGAGTAGAGGAGGGGCGGCCAAGGTGACGGCTGCCTCCCTCCACCCACTGCCAGGAGTCACCAAGTGGATTTCTCAGGCTTCGTCAGGGTCCTGGCTCATTTCCGACCTATAGATGATGAGGACGCAAGTAACCGGGACCCCAAGCAGCCTGAACCCCTCAACAGCAGGATGAACAAACTTCGCTGTGAGTCTGTGGGAGCCTGCAAGACGGACCCACATCCGGGAGGGGCCCCAAGAACTTTCCAGTCCCTTTATGAGCCTGGTGCGGACTCCACTCTTCCGGAGTGAGCGCCTAGAGGAAAACCAGGGAACACTCACCTTCCTTCCCCTCCGTTCTCTTCCCAGTTGCATTTCAGCTCTATGACCTGGACCGAGATGGGAAGATTTCCAGGCACGAGATGCTACAGGTGGACGGAATGCAAGAGCAGGAGCAGGATGTGTGAGGGGTGGTGTGGTGTGGGGACCGGTCGGATGATGGGCGGATGAGGGATTTAGGTGCCTGGGGTATTGGGTGCGAAGTGGGAATAGGTGGGGTTGGCATGTGGGTTAGAGATTAGGAATAGATCATTGGTTCTCAGTCGGGGCAATTTCGCCCCCTGCGTGAACATGTGGTAGTATTTGGAAACACTCTGGGTTGTTAAAGTTGGGGAGAAAGCATGGGACTGGCATGTAGTGGGGTAGAGGTCAGGAATATTGTCACTTACCCAGGACAGCTTCCGTGACAGGACATTCTCTGGCTACAAATTGCGCTCAGGTGGAGAAACTGGAGTGGATGTGATGCAGTGGGGATAGCGGTGGCAGTAGGTAGAGAATGGATGGGACGGAGGGTGGGTGGAGTTGGGTTATAGGGTTGGGGTGATGAGTTTAGGCATAATGTCGAGTGAGTGTGGAACTGTGAGGGGCAGATGGGTCATTGTACGGGAAAGCTCTGGAGGAATTATTGGGAGAGATGGTGGAAAGTGAATGGGAAGGGGTAAACATGGATGAAACAGGTCATAACGTTGAGGTTGAGGTGGGCCAGACTTGGGAGATGAGTCGACTTTGTGCTTCCCCTTGGCGGCTGACTCTTCCCTCCCCTCCCAGGTTCTCCGGCTGATGGTTGGGGTTCAGGTGACAGACGAGCAGCTGGAGAGCATCACTGACCGCACAGTTCAGGAGGCCGATGATGATGGGGATGGGGCCGTGTCCTTCCTGGAGTTTGCCAAGGTCAGAATACCCTTAGGGGCTGGGGAGTCAAGATCAGGAGTCCCTAGGACAGACTAACATGGGAACTAAACTTCGAAGGAGGAGGGAAGAGAAACAGACGTTCCCAAGGGCTGGTGGGGTCTTCAGGATGGTGAAACCCTGGGGTGAAGGTTGGAAGTATAGAGAACTGGGATTCAAGACTCTTTATTATCACCTTTCTCCCCCAGTCTCTAGAGAAAATGGACATCGAACAAAAAATGAGCATCCGAATCCTGAAGTGACTCCCCCTGTGCCTTTGGCTAGCTTATGCAGACCGTTTGTGCTTGGGAGTCGTCCTCGGCCTACTTGGAGGCAGGACCCCAGTAAACTGTATTCTTACTTCTGAACCAAACACTGTTTGGAGCCAAGGAGAAAAAGCTGGGAGGTTGTGTGCCTAGCTCGCATCCATGAATCACAGCAATCTTTTGCTTGCAAGTGACTGAAAACCCGACTTGAAATCACCAAAGTAAAAATGAGATATTGTAGGCTTATGCGATTAAAAAACCTAGCATGGTCCTTAAGCATGGCTAGATATAAGGGCACAACTGGCATTAAGAGGACTGAAATATTCTCCATCTCTCAGCTCAGCTTCATTCTCTGGTGGGCTCTTCCCTCAGGGTGGAGAAAGGCTCTCAGAAGCTCCAGGTTTCCATCCTGCCATCTTAGTATGCCAGTGGGAACAAATACTCTTATTCCAATAATGCCAAGCAAAGAGTGTCATTGGCCCGACTAGAGTCTGTTCCTATCGCCAGGAACACTCTAGCTAGTCAAACTGTGCCCTGTTTTCAACTGATCCCTTGGGTACATGCTACTATGATGGGGTTGTGATGATGGAGAGATGATGTAAAAATAATAAACAATACATACCTTCCTAGAGTGTGAAATTATTCAAAGATTTTGAGAGTGATTTTTTTTTTTAAGAGAGATTTTTTGCTATAGGGTGCGTGTGCTCACCAGGGAGTCAGAGACACAGATAAAAAGGGAGAATTACCACCCAGGGGGATAGTCATGCTGCAGTCCCTTCTCCTCCATTCTCCTCTTGGGATCTTGGGCACACACGCACACACATTCAGTGTGAGTTTTAAGCCTCTAGGTCCAGGTTTCAAACTGAGATTGACTATGCGGGAGTCTAGCGACATAACCATTATGCCATTTACTGGTCCCTGGAGAGTAACTTTGATACTTTGTGGTCAGATGTTCAAGCCTTGATATATCACAGAATAGAATGTAAAAGTCACATAAAACTATGGGATTCTAGGTACATAGCAGAGCACTTCGGTTCTATCTGTAGGAGATACCGTCAATACCCTACCCAAATTCCCTTCCAGGGATGTGCTGGTAGCTGGAAATTGGCTGTAGTAGGAATATTTGCACCACAGACATTGGCAAATGCAATGTCATGTATCCCTCTAGGATAGCCAGTTGCTAAATATTTATCAATGCGCCTCCTGTTCAGCATCCACCATTACTGTACATGCCAACGGTTTCTTCCTACATGCACCTGTGATACTCTGCTTGTGGGCTTTGCTTAGCCTAGGTGAAGGGCACACTTAGTCTGTGTGAGGGACAGCTGGAAAGCGCCAGGGAGTTAAAGACTCTAGAAGGAGCAATTCTCAACCAATGACTTATGGAATTTGTGGATAAATATCTAGGACACCCTCCAACTCGTCAGGTGGACCAATTTTGAGGCATGTTCTCCTTATTCTCTTAGAAATCTCCAGCCCATTTGAGCCCCAGTTGCTGTGGTGTTACATTTCTTTGCAAGGTACCACCTACCTGAACCCTAGTCCTCCCTCTCCTTTTTTGATTGTCCACTCCCCCACTAATCCTACCTGTATCACTTCACAAATAAACAACCTGCTCTCAAATCCTTGTCTCAGGGTGCTTCTGGCAAAACTTAACCTAGGATGTATTAGACCTTCCAGAACACAAGCTCACCCTCATCTGTAGTTGTGAGACACTTTGAGAAACATCGTGTTAAGGGATTTCACAACTCCTGGCACGTTCTGATTTTAAGGAGTTTGAGGTCACATGAAGACTAAGTAACTTTGGGGCTGCAGGTACCTGGTACCATCGGGGTAGGATAGTAACTCCATTTCAACTTTCATGGTTTAGTTACAGTATGAGTCTGACAGAGGGGCTCAAAACTGGGGGTGGGGAGAGTGACAAGGGGAATATTTGATGCCTTAGAGAATCTTACGATTTTTGTCAGAGGATTGCTACATGAACAAAGACTGTGATTGAGGGATATTTGCTTAGTCTTTGGCCCCGATTACAGGTGAGAAAGTAAAAGAAAACTCCCTGAGGGGTCATTGTTGCCAGGCACTGCAAGGGAAGATGTATATATAAAGAGAAACTGAGAAGAGAGAAGGAGTGGATGAAAAGGGAAGGAGAGGGAAAGGAAGGGGAGAAGGGCAGGAGGGTTTCTCTTTATACGTGGTCTTTTCTCCATTATAGTGATTTTCAAATTTTCCTGATGATGAGTTCGATTTGTGGAAAAAGCTCAGCCCTCTTGGCTCTATTCGAGAGCCCCTGAGTCTCCGGGGAAAGCCCTCTCTAGCTGTTTTTCTATCTCTATCTATCTGTTTATTTCTTTCATGAGCAAAAGAGAAAGAGAGACAGACAGCATCCCTAACAGAGTCTTGGTGCCACATCCCCTCCCCTGCCCCCTCCAGCTTCAGCCAGTCCCCAATCATGAGCACATATTCAGGGCGGTCTGCAGATGCAAGCCCAGAACCTTCCCATGTGTGTCAGCTTTGAGCATAGCATTTTACCACTGCACCACCATCTGGCTGCCTATAATGTTAACGAGTGGGTCCAATGCCAGAGGTTCAAGGACCAGTGTAGAAATACTGTAGAAAGGTCACTTGTCATCATACCTACTATAGGAACTCCTAATCTAATGAGGTTACTAAAGGGGCTGAGGGATCCCCAAGACTCCACTCGGTATTTTGGTGGTTGGGGAGCAAATTTTTCCAACTCCTCATCCAAGCTCAGGAGGTTAGAGACCTCCTTGCAGGTGAAGGGCATCAGTCTGGCTGCTGCTTTGGCCCAAGCTGCTGGACTCCATCTTTCTGATGTGAACTCTGGCAGATAGTCTTATGGGTTTGTTCCAGGGAGGTCCCAATGTCACCAATGGGGAGTCCCTGAGCTGTGAGCAGCAGCTCACACTTTTCAGTGACTTGTTTACCACCCTCATTATCGTTACTGTACAGTACCTACAGCCTATACTGTATGGTCATGCATCACTTAACGATGGGGCTATGTTCTGAGATGCGTGCTGTTAAGCGATATTGTTGTTGCGTGAATATCAGAATGTGCACGTATGCAAACCTAAATGGTAGCCTTCTATACCCCTGTGCTGCTACATGACACAGTATGACCTGTACAGTGCTCGTGGGACTGCAATCATACATGCACTCCGACATTGAAATGTTAGTGGCACATGACTATGTTTACTTACTATCTGTCTAAAAATAACCTCACTTAAAAGTTAGATACTTGAGTTTATAAAGAAAATTGTATTTCCTGTAAATTAAAACCCAGCAGCATAGGGCTGGCAGGTGGCATGATGGTGAAGGCACTGGACTCCCACCTGACTGACAGTGGTTTGGTTCCCAGACTTGGTGGTTTGCCTTTTCACTTTCACTCTCTATCTTTCTCTGGTCAGATTAAAAATAAGTAAATTAATTAAATTAAATAAATAATTCTAAAAAAAAACACCCTACCATTGTTTGCTATAAATAAAATAGCTGTACAAATATAGTACATACAAAAATTAAAACAAAACAAAACAAAAAAAAGGAAGGGGGGTTATCCAGTGATTAAAAAGTTGTAAAAGATTGGGGTCAGCAGATGCTGTAGTGGTTACATTGCTGGACTCCCACGCAGTTGACCATAGTTCAAGTCCCAGACCCAGTGACTTAAAATTCACACTGGGTGCACATGTGTGTGAGCCCAAAATCCTGAGAGGAGAATGGAAGAGAATGAATTGCAAAGTGGCCATCCCCCCAGAGAGTGACTTCTTGCTTTCTGTCTCTCTGGCAAGCGCACATGCCCTATAGCAAAAATCTCTTTCTCAAAAAAAAAAAAAAATTGTAAAAGACAATCATGCCTCAAACAGAGATGTTTCTTTGGTGATCTGAAGGAGGGGAAAGGAATTAAGAAGAGAACAACCTTTTCACTGTGAGATTATTGTTTTTGGAGGCTGTGCTGTTGCTTTCAAGTCATCTTATATATGTGAGTGGTGTCTTTCTCATCTTCTTGCTGGGGGAAGTAATGAGGTAATAATCCCAGGTTGAACCTGCCTCCCACAAGGACCAATTGGAGGTAGCTATCAGAGAGCTGAACATCTGACCCTCTGGCTGGCCACTGCTCAGGCTGGGTTTGGTAGAATTAGACCATAGAAACAGAGTCCACTCGCCAGGCCTGGTCCAAGGACAAGCAGTGGGGCACGATGACAGATGCTTTACGGAGAGGCAAATGTGAAAGCAACAGCCCTTTGCTGATACTCATCTCCAAGCTGGTAAGATTTGTGAGCTTGGAGACAGGGCCTATGAACCTGCCTACTTGCAGGAATGAGATGGCACAGTAGAAGCTGGAGAAGCTCTAGTCCCTGTGACCTTCACTTGAAAGGGGTTTCCCAGAGAGGAATGGGATGGACCCTGAGGTGGTCCCACCTACATGCCTTGAAGAGGAGATAGGAGTTCCAGAGGAAGCCTTTTTAACCTTGCCAAGAAGGCTGAACTTGGGCCAGCTCCAGTCATTTTACAATGCTGAAGTGATGTGGGAAGGTTCTGGGTTTGTGTCCCAAGAGCTCCCTCTATATGCCAAGCGTACATATGCTTTGGTTGGCTGAGACTGAGGGTGGATCATGGCACGAAGACCTTGTTGGGTGTGGAAGGCTGCGCACCAGCGAATATTGCCCTTAGGCTTCGGTTTCTCAGCAAACAATTACACAATGCCAAAGGCCATGATTGGCTCCCCTTCAAAACCTCACCTTCAAAACCATACTCTGATTGGCCACTTCCCATAGCAAATCGGTGAGCTTAGAATCCCTCAGATTTGCATATCTGGCACCTCATGATTGGTCCACAAAAGCAACCAATCATAACCCACCTTTTACAATCCTTCATTTAACCAATCACCGCCCACCAACATGTATATAACCACGATCCCTGGCCCACAGTCTCCGGACAACCCTGAAGAGTTGTAACACTGTGTTGTTTCCATGTTGTAACACTGCGCCATTCATCTCGTCTCTCACTCCTTCCCTCAGGAAACCTGTTCGACTGTCCTGTGGGGTCAGGACAGTTGGGGGTTTATTTTTAGAGAGGTAGTAAGTAAATATAGTCATGTGCCACTAACATTTCTCTCTTTTTCTAGGTCTTTCTCTCTCTCTCATGGAAGAAATAATTGGTAAACTTAAGAATTCAAAAAGAAAAAGAAAAAATCTCAAATAACATGTTTAGGAAACCCTAGGAAGGGAAGCAAGTAAAAGGACATAGGTCTGGCTATTGTTTGCCTCTTTCTGTCAGGAAATAGTTAAGGATTCTGACCTTGACTCTCCAATAGAAGGAAACTCTGGGTTGTTTTAAACCCCACCCACCTAATATCAATAACACTCTCTTGATATTTAGTAGGCAACATACAGGCTTGATTTCTAGTAGAGTCTATGCTGAGAATCAGTGTGGTTTAGTAAAAATAACTTGAGTTTTGGAGTTCTGTTAGGCCTAGGTTTGAATCTGGGCCTTTTTAGTTATCTGAGTTACTCCTCAGTGCCCTCGCTTCTACCTGTGAAAGAGACAAATAATAGCAGCTACCCTGCAGAGTTGTTACACCTT